AAAATATAATTAAAAGTATGAAATAAAACTTACTTAAAACTTTTACTTAAAACATCATATTTTTTAAAGTAATTTTATTTTTAAATTTGAATACTACTTATAAAAGAGATTTAATTTTTGATAATAAAAATTATTTTCAAATTTCACAGATACATTCTAAAATTCTAAAATAATTAAATTGGATCAATTATTTTGCAAATACAATGTTATAAAATTACTTTTTATAACATTACAAATATTACTCTTACTAACCTTAGAAAATAAAACTTGATTATTAGATTTGATTCGAATTTTTAATTCTTAAATCTTTAAATATAATTGATTTATCTGTAATAAAATTATCTCTACTAATTAAAGCATAAAAATAATATTCACAGTGTTAATCACTTACTGTAAACGGGATCCTGCTCACTGTTCTTTAATTGAAGCAGTGAATCAATGAAATCACCTCGTTTTTCGCCGGTCTTTTCGCGATTTTCCATCGCATTCCAGAAGATTTTTCCTACAAAGGAAGAATTGAAAAGCATTCTCGTACCGATCACTTCTACCAATTCAGGCATGAAGAACACTGTCACGAGGGCAACCATCCTCTTGAATCCATAAAAGAATTCTTGGACTGGACAGAATTATTTCCAAATTATCACATATTGTCAACTTCCAATATTGTGAATTGGTAAATGTAAATCAATGACTTTGTAAGTAAAAATGGATCTTGTAAGCAAATTATTATTTGTAAAGTTATAATTTATAATAGATTACTCCTCCTCTCAACAATTTAGCACGTTTATTAATCTAATTATCTGAATAAAGTATCAAGATCTTTCGTATTAGGGTTAAAAAGTTCAAGAAACAAATAGACGTTGCAAATAGTATTTTTCGAATCTTGAATTTTTTATTGATTTCTATTTTTGTTTTTTCATGATAATCTCAAAACAAACTTATATTATGAATTATTTCTGTATTGACTATCTCGGAGCATATCATGTGTGGCAGTGTGTCAATGTCACATGATATGCCAGTGCGTTATTTAGTTGATCCACTTTTATTATCAATTTCATTAATAAATAACATTAACTTGAGAATGAATACCTGCAGCTGAAAACTCATAATTTGGATAGTGAAAAGAGTCTATTTTCGTGCCGAGCGCGACTGAAGCGATCAAATCAGTCGTGAACTTATAATTGAGATCTTGAGCATCTATCACTCTCACGTTGTCGCTATTTATCGGTTGTTCCTTTATGTATTCCATCATGGGATTCGCGGTATCTAGCATCAATGGCAACATTTGCTTCAACTTGCCCCTGGTCAAGGTAGGTGTGATTTTAGTCCGCAAGTATTTCCAGGCCGGATTCTTGAGACCGAACAGGTTCTTCATACCAATACTGTCCTTTTGAGTCGAGCCGGCGAAATGGCGATCAGAAAAATTGTCAAAGTCGCGGATCATGAAGTATTTGATGATCTCCGGGTCGCGCAACAACAAGCACGGCTTGTGGAAAATGTAAAAGCCGACGAAGGGCGCGTCCGAGCGGGCCATCTTGTGCAGATCGCCGATGTGCCATCCCGGCGCGGAACGAAAGAGCACGGCATCTTTGAAGTTGCCGAAGATACGATGAGGAGGAAGGAACTCGACACCACGTCTTTTCCAATAGTTTAACTTGTAACTGTGATTAACATTTAAATTTGTAATATTTGTAATATTTGTAATAAATTGTTAATATTGTATGTTTTAACTAGAAATTAAAATTTGAAATTAAAATTTAGATTGGACAGGCCTTAAAGTGATTTTAGTCATTTTTAAGGAGTTTCGAGGATTGACAGTATTAGTAGACAGTCACATTTAAAGTGACGAACAATAGAAATTGTATGACAAAATTATTATTAATTCTAACATTTTTAAATACTGTTAAATCTTATATCTAATAACTTTTACTCATACTAACCTGGTATATACCCAGAAGAGTATCACTATCGTAAATACCAATATAAGACTGACTAACATGATCGAGTTTGTTTCTCTTACCTCACTCGTTTCATTAATACTGAATTAAGTAGCTCTTCCACGGTCTTTTATACTTGATAACGGCGGCTCGCTTACGTTCTAAGCCTATCTAAATTGTAAAAATTACATTGAAGAGGGAATCATTATCAAGCGGATCAAGAGAAATTTACAAAGTTATATTTCCTTGCACTTAAAGTGATTATCGAGATAAATTGCACTTAAAATGATTATCGAGATAATCCCCGATAAAACATTTCTCATATATAATATCATCATATATAAATAATTATGTTATTATATGAAACTATATAAACATGTATATATAAAAACTATATAAATATGTATAGGTATATGTATATATGTTATGTAATATGTGTAAAAACTATATAAAATGTGTATGTAAAATTGTATATAATTTCGTCTCTGGTATATAATGATAAATCCATATTTCATTAATAGTAGTAGATAAAGTGCCACAAAAAGCAGTTGGATTGCATTTAAATATATTCAAACACTCCTTCAAAATACATTTAAATACATTTAAATACATTTTTGATTTATAATTATTCATTGTCACTAAAAGATTTTTCATATGCAAATATTTCTAATTATTTAAGATGTTAATATCAGCAAACGCTTTCATTCGTTACAGTTATTATGGATCTTATCAGTCATAGTAGTTTTTGGATGATTTGAAAAATTACCCATGTATAATACATATACTTTTAACATAATATTGTCGAGCTTTCGCGGCGCGAGCTTTCAACTCTTACTCACGCGACACGCGTAAATAGAGACCGTTTATAAAGAAGAAACTTTAATGAGCACAATTAATTACACTGTTCGTGATATAATTTCGCGCTCGTAATCCGTTCGCGCGTTACCTCTCAAAATCGTCCCGCATGAATCTCTGTCAAATTTCTCTAATCAGTAAATCAATAGTCTATAAACAACGGTGCGTTGGCAAGGAACGATCCTCTCAACATTACTCGGGAACCAAAAATGAGCGGACCACCGGCTCCACTCGGCCATAAACTCCTCTCCCCCCTTCCTTCAAAATTGTCGTCCCGACATTTCTCTTCAGGAACTGCTCTGCAGAAAGCGGCCTCCTTCTCTTCCTTGGTAAAGATCCCTGGGTACCACATGACTTTCTGCCTTACCCTGAGCTGCTGCTACAGGTCACCAGGAGCCGGGTACTCTTGGACCCAATCTTACAATCTCCTCCTGGTACTGAGTACTGAGTCACTGCAGAGATTCGTTTCCATTTCCTTCTTGATTTCTTCTTTCTTTTTCCGAATCTTGTTCTTGAGTACTTCTTTTTTGAATCTTGAATTTTGAGTTTTGAGAGCTTCTTTCTTGATTTCTTCGGACAAGGAGGGGGTCCATCTACCATGGACCTATCGTCTTTAAAGACTCCCCAAGTCCCTTGGCATTCGCCCTAAGTCCCTTGGAAAAAAACCACGGTTTAAAAAAACCGAAGGCGAGGCAGACTTCTTAGAATTATTATTCAGCCAGATATTCGGGCTTCGGAAAAGACGATCTCCCGCCATAGACGCCAAATATTTTGAAAAATAGAAAAATATTTACAAACTTATCATTTTCCCTTCTTCGAACGGAAAGAACATTCAACCTTCCCACAGACTCCGATGAAAATCACGATCCAATCTAAAACGCTTTCCCGAAACGAAAATTCACTTATCTAAACGAAACCCATTTAAACAGATTCGACTTTCCGAACACTCAGAAAAAACTTCGAAGATTATTTAACTCTTTATTTACTTGATTTCCCTCCTATCTAAAACCCGAAATATCAAAACTCGTGCCAAATTTGAAAAACATATGCGCATCCGTCCGATAAATCAAACCGTGCCAAAGGAATCAACGTAAAAGCATTTTCTTTTACTCAATATCGCGTAAATGCGAATTTAAGGAAAAACAGAATTTATTTTATTAAAACAAAAAGAAATTAATTAATTAATGATTGGCCTGGCATTTGGCAGGCCAATCACTCATCTGAGCGCTGTAAAAATTCAGCTTTACGCCGCTGTACTACTCACTCCTTCCAAAGAAGAAGGAATTTCTGCTGTATAGAACGGAGAATGGTCTCCAAATGTGACATTTCGTCATCCTCCGGCGTGCGTGTGCAAATCCTTTTCCTCGCCACGCGACTCCTTACGGAAGATCCTCGTGCCTCATGATTTTCGATTGGCCTTTGAACATTTCCCGACGCGACGTCATTGTCCGCTATCCCCCCCCCCCTGGAAACATGGATGCCTCCAAAAATATCGCACTTCCGCGGCGATCACTCGCACAACTCTCACTCACGCGACACGCGTAAACCATTTATAAAGAAGGAACAATTAATAAGCACAATTAATTACACTGTTCGTATACAATTTCACGTGAACGAAACATGGATACACCACTACACAGTTCTGAGACCAAAGAATAGTCCAAACAATGGGTTGCCAGCGGGGAATTTGTACCAAAGAAGGCGAAGACCATTCCTTCTA